TCTTGCTATCTTTTACAGGACAGCAAGGGGCGAATAGTGTGAGAGTATGTAAACGCATGGCGCCTAACGCACACTAAAAAGCGATGAGGGTATGGGATACAGGGATTCCTCTGTTAGCACTGACATTTCAAGTCGGAGAAATAAAATACAGAGTGCCGGGAAGCAGACGTCAAAGATCGCTGGTGCTCACAAGTGAAGCAATCGGTATATGATTTGTCGATTATCTCCCTACAGCGATCTGACCTATGCTCATGACTGTGCTGGATGCTGTTACAAACATTGTACATTTGGGGTCCGCCTATGTCATGCGCAGCTTCTGGGGATTAGCAGGAACACGACTGAATCAGCGGAATGCCAGTGAAACGACGCCCTAATCATGGAGGGCTCCGATATCGTACTAAAATAGTTGAGTTACTCTTGTTAAATCTCATTTTTTGCTTACACTCAGTGTCATTAAACGCTTGAGACGCCTAGTTTACCCCCGTACCTTAAATTATGCGAAGGCACGCTCCATCCAGTATCCTTTCACATTGATTTAAAACAAAATACCATGACCTAGAAAAAAGAATTGGAAATGTTACCTTATTATTAGTGCCAACATCTATGACAACCGGCAGACAAAATTGCGGTTGAATTCCACCCAAAGCGACATAGAGACCTAGTTTACCGACTGGGATTCCCATACCGCATGCACCAAGATCACCAAGACCGAGAATTCTTTCACCATCAGTGACCACTATTGCCTGAAAAATATTGAATCCGACGTCACCTAAACTAAAATGTTATTTATGAAAAAAAAACAGTTAACTGCACGGAAAATATTCTAGAACCATTAAAAATATTATGAAATAAATGAAAGCAAGAACAGCCGTATCTGAGATTTCCAGAGGATTTTAGAAATGAGGGCTGGGAAGGATCGTGTAGCGACGATAAGGAGGGGGTGCCGTTTGACAAGGTTTTTGACATTTTTGAACACAAATTCAGAAACGTTGGGCAAAAGAACAAAATCGGAGAAATCGTCGTTTTTTGCCATATTCTGCCCTCTCTCCCCGCCAAGGTGCTGGACCTTGTCGATTTGTCTCATTGTCAGTATCAAGCACAATAAAAGTTCAAATTAGTTCGTCCATTTGCTAGATCCAACACCAGAGCAAATTTTTTTTCTCTTCGCGCTTCTAGTGAATTTGGTAAGCTCACCAAAAAATTCGCCATGCCCAGCAGTTTATCGCACTTAAAAAAATATTTACAAAATTCTATACTTGAGGGCTTCAAATTTCTCATATTCAAATCTGATTTTTAGAGGATGGACAATCATATTCACTAGTAAAATTTTGTTGTTCTACTTCATTTTCTTATGATGTTTTTCAGTTGTGTTGTTACGTCTTGGCACAGTTTTGTTGTGTTTGTCCATGTACTTTTGTACATGCAAATAAATAAATAAATAAATAGGCAAACAATGATTTAGTGTGGGTTTGCTTGGGGGTGGGAAATGGTTGTATCGGGACTTCCGTGGAATGGAGCGGAGGGGGTGTCACAGCCCACGAAACACTATAATGTATTGTTATCCCCAGCATGGTCTTATTAAGATTGAAATATGTAACGCAAGCATTTATTTACTATTTATTTTTTATTTGTTTATTTAACATTTTATTTTATTTATATTTCAATTGTGGTTGCTCTCCTTCCATAAAGCACCAAACAAATGTGCCGCAACTGTTTACTCGAGTACAATCAGTCAACCACAACTGCTGTTAGGTGTATGTGTAAGCTGGTGCCGTTAATTCACGCAGAAGAAAAACAATCAATGTTGTCACAAAGGCCTGTGCGTTGCATGAGCAGTTATGTTGAGACGATTCATAGCACTTAAATTACACATTTACATACACTCATTCGTTTTTACAAATTAAACTTTCAATTGGTAAATTTCCATATAAATTAATAATATATAGTTTATGATTTAATTAATTTATTCAATATTATAAAATATAGGGTCTCATCCAGTAAGGGGGGCATCAAGTGGCTGCCCTCACCCCCCACCCCCTAGACTGCCTACACTCCCCCTGGCGCACAGGTTTCTCGAAGTACGGACCCCGTGAGCCAGGGGGAGTGAAGGCAGTCTAGGGGGGGGGGGTGAGGGCAGCTACTTACTAGGTACGAATGGAATGTATGGCCATTATTTCCCTGCGTGCCGAACATTGGACCTGTGCGCCAATCACTATCGCAGCGATTTTTGTATATTGGAGCATATCTCACGCAAAATATCCATAATGTACAGAAAAACTTCTACGAAGTTATTACGACCTGGCCATCCCATAAGTAATGAAGGTTTTCTATAACGCACTAAAACTCAAGGAAAAAAGAGATAGAGCAGCGGCAGCAATCAGGAAGGTCAGCAACTTCTTGTAAATATTAGAGGCCTGCATGAACAGCGCTAGTCTGACCACTGAAAATCCAAACGGTTGACTTCGACTCGAGAGATAGACCATCCTGGAGGGTCTGCTGAGCCTTAAGAGGATGTTCTGCGAATGTTGCTGGAAGAAGTCTCTAATCTCGAGACCACAAACTCATCTCCTGCACTACGGGAATCTTCATGGTTTTCACGTTCTCGCTGTGGGCAAGTATGAGCAAGTATATACGGAAAGATGAACGAAGGGGGGGGGGGTGATGTGGGTTTTGAAAAGCTGATTCGTAGAGCCCGGAAAGTGCGTGTTTGAGTCTCGTTATGATAGATTGCAGCGCAATCAAAGGAGAAAGCGAATAGAATACAATTCTTACGGGAATTTACTGGAAGCTAAAAATCTCCAAAAATAAAGATCGTTTAATAAAACCCAAATGTCGTGCGCAACTGCGCTTATTTTTTTCCTGGCCAATATACGGAAATGACGAAAATAATGGTAGCAATTAGAGAAAAAAGCAGGAACAAATTTCAAATCATTTTTTCTATTTATGGAAACTACTAGTTGCCCTTACCTGTACGGTCGATATTGGCCAATTGCATAGAATTTGATAAATTTTGCTAATGCTGTTGTCATTGATCGTTATATAGAGACCTCTGGAAGAGAAATATGGGGTGATTTCTGAGAATCAGGAACATAGAAGAATACTAGAACGGACTAACTGTGGATGCCGATAAATATGTCCAAATTCCTGGCAAGCCAAGCCGACTGTAGGAGTGTACACAATAGGCATCAATTCCTTGACATTTTCACTCAAAATTCGGTAGAATAACTTTTCATTACGACACTGCAACTCGTTCAAGGCGATATACCTTAAATATTCAAGATTTTAGGAAAAGATGAGAAAGATTGCACGGGCTACTGTTTGCCACTTTGGACTCGAACTGAGGCGCACTGTAGCATCCATAAATTCATTAAAGGACGAATTCACGCTGGAAAGGCAACCCATTTCAAATTAACTAGGGATGGTGAGTGGTACACGAAAGAAGGAAAAACCATGAGAAACGGCCCAGAACCCGAGAAATGGGACCCCTTCCTTGCCCGTTGATTTGAGCATTGATGCGACTCTCATCGCTGTGCCCTCTTCAACACTACGCTCTCTCACCTATCTAATCACTCGCCACGTATAGACCTGCGGCGAGTGATCAGATGACGGTGGTAAAGTGGCCTCAACTGCTAGTTACCATGTGACCATGAGCTCGTGGTAACTTGGTCATCCATGTCCATGTCTCCCTAAAAGATGCGTAGAGCACCTCTGGAACCCCTCCGAAGATTCCCCGTCGGAATGGTCGAAGTGAGTTCGAACTTACTTGGAAGTTAGGGTGATGACATCACGTGCTAGTAAGAGGATTAGCAGGGTGGTCATTTATAAACTAACAGCGATGGCGGCAGAGAAAAGGAAATAGTGCGCGCGCGGTGGAGGGCGCAAACATGCTGCCACTTCATCTCTAAAAAGTCCTCCGGAGGACTTTTTAGAGATGGCCATCTCCAAACAGCCAGGCTGTGTGGGTCAACGCAGTAAGTTGAAAAGGGAAAGGGAAGCAACTTGCATTGATTCGTCAATGGTGTAGCGCCTGCGGTCCACGTTGGTGTGATGGTCACGGGATCAATACTACGACAATATTCTTTGCAACTTTTGTGGGTTATTGCCTTTCCTCTACAACTCTTTCACCGTCGATAAGAAGGGCTCCATAGTGCAGTGGTAGCGATGCCGCTCATGGGACGATGCACCGAAGGTTCAAACCCGTGTGTGACGCGACTTTTGCAAGCAACGTGGTGGATGCTCACCACTTCACCTATGGCAAATTGCCATTGGCTCAATGGGACGTTCCACGCTGCCGCTGGCAAGGTTGCTGGATCAGCACCGCTTGGAGACTAAGATTTGCAAACAACATCCATTGCATACCTTTCATCAACATCTCTTCCAGTGTTGTGGTCGAGTGATCCCTTGGTGCAGTGGCAAAAAACCAGCTTATCGAGCCTGCCACTCCAGCGGCTTCAGTTCCGAGAGTTGCAAGTTTTTGACAAGGTCGGTGGGGCGAGGCTCGGTGGTGTCAACGTAGGTCATGTCCACGGCTTCCACGGGTTGTTCTATTCCTCGCCCAATGAGCGTATAAATCACACATTGATTGCCTAGTGCCCTTTACGACCGATCAGATGATCGGTGGGCGTGCACTGGCCCACCGCGCCAAGATTGAGCCTTAATAGGTCGCCGAGGTCAACTCCTTCGGTGCCAATTGCGCTTCAGTCCGCACCCTTAGGAGGTCCGCGGGTCCCTCAACTAGGTGAATTACTCTTCTTCGAGTTGTTGAGTTCGTCCTTTATGTCCCCATGATGTTGTGGCGCTAGGAGGCCAGCAGCAGAGCCACCGACGTCATGCCGTTGAACAATACTTTCCATGCAGTCTCCAGCTTCTCTCTCCTTCTTGTAACCTCTGTATCCTTGTTCTTAGTTGGTTTATATGTACTTGCCACTACACCACTTCAGCCGTAACAGGGGGCATACACGTGTTATGATTGAAAAAAGAAACTATAACGAACTTTGCCAAGTCGTTCGGTTGTTCTCGGATACTTGTCATCATACGATAGACCTGCTGCTCCTGTGTCATAAAGGCCGGCGGCAAAAGACCATGAATTCCAAGGTGTTGGCGTTCATATAACGAGAATGCCATGCCCTTAATAAAATATCAGATTGGCTCCAGGTTACCAATAAGAAAACCTCACAACTCTGGCCTCGATGCACTTTTGAAGAAACCAAGAATCTTTTGGATATGGCGGATAGGTCATTTCGGCTCCTGATCGTTCTTTATATTAATGCTATCTCTTAACACAACTGATCTAATATCATCTTTAAACAGCGAATGGCAAAAAAACAAAGATGTTGACTTTTGGACGCAAGCGGTTGCAAAAACGATATTTTTCAGTGGAAGGCTGTCGGCCGAAAAAGGGTCAATAGGCGCAGGGTTGTTCATCAGTTTTGTGGCGGGGGGGTCATATTGGGGCTCGGTGAAGGTCACAAGGTTGGGAAAAGCGGTCGTGATGGCAGGAGAAGGGGTTGCGTTTGAAGAGTTTCTAGGTTTTTGCAGGTAAAGTTGAGAGAAGGGACGCGGGAAGAGTTTTCTTTACCCCTTTCCTCCCTGCTCCATTCGTTTTGGAGGATGAGTGGGAGGGGCCGGGCTATGCCATTTGGTCTCAGAATCATTCAATACTGTACTAGAAGTGGAGTAATGGTGGTGAACTGCTATGGAAGCAACCATGATGGTGAGGGTGGTGGGCTAGGGGGAATGGGAGGTCGCATTGGTGAGCCCTTACTGATGTTGGTAGAAGAGGGGGCATAATTTTTAGCAAATGGAACCGGTTGACCCTGCTCGTCTGCCCGTCATTGCGACTTTAGCGTTCCATCTTGATCGGCTCCATTTTACGAAGTACAGCACTAACCTTAGATAGGCGAGGAGTACTGAGAAGTTGATATCCTCTCTCGTTTGGGGTGACTCTTTCTGGCCTATATAGCTTATGAAGTGCCAGTTGCTTCGGATCATTCAGATCGTATTTGTGGTTATCCCCAAAAGCAGTCATCGAAATACAGATAGTGCGAATTTGGGCAGGATTGCTGAATGGAGTGGCAGTAAAGATGAATAGAAAAGCTATTGAGACGATAAAAGATGGGCAAAGTGAGAAACTCACCGGCTCGGTCCCAGTAGACTGAGCATCTTCGGTTGGGAATTACCTGAAACACTAGCTGTTGACTATTATATGGAGGGTTCCACATCACTGTCACCCTGACATGAACATAAACAAAGAACAAACATGAGTGACATCGTTACATGGCAAAGCGGTCGGAAAGCAAGCGTCGGAAAGCATGCACTCATGCCTTTCCCTAGATTATTTACATCGGCTAATGCATAGTTATGCGAACAACCAAATAAAATAAAATAAAATAAAATAATAAAATATAAAAATATAAAATAATAATAAAATAATATAAAATAAAATCCTATATGGAATTGTTTGCCCAAAAAAAACTCAGCCACTGCCGAGGTGAGCAAACATGAAGAATTTCCGAAAATTGCCGAAATCCCACACACACATTTGGCTCTGAGGTGGAGAGGGGTGTCGTATTGGGAATGACAGTAAAAGTTGACTGAATATTCTCGACGGAACTGGGAGATTAGAATTCGAGGTGTGGGGTATCCTAGAAGGCTTATTGATTCCAGGTAACGATAAATTCCTCATGAAGGTTTCTTAAACATTCTTAAATAATTTCAACAAACAGTTTTGCGAAAACTTGAGAATTTCAAGGCAATTCGGAATTCCTCCCCCGTTTGATATACTCTGCATATAGTGCTCACCTGGAGGACTATCGTGTATAGGTAAAAACCGCGGGGATGTTCGCATGGGAGAGCGTGGATATAGAAGGATTGTGAGAAACAAGGGTTTCGTGACCCTCTTTGACAGATCATTTTAGCTGAATTTTCACGAACCGGTTGATGCTTACCCTCATCGGTATACCCACAGAAAAATTATATTTTAGTGAAGTGAGCTGTGAATAAACGATCCTTTTACGGCCTCTCAGTGAAGCTGCACAGGAATCTGGTTAGCCACGATTGAACGCTCTCCTGTGACCAATCGATGGCACATAATCAGGTTTCACTGCTGAAAGTATAAATTGCGACTTCTGGTTCCCGTGCTAACTTCTGCTTTTGCTAGTTGTTTTGATAGTTCCACTACGATATTCTTTCAACAATGCATAGTAAAGGGATGAGCACTTTGAATTCTCAAAGAGCTATTCGCACTCACGCCAGTGTTTTTTAACAAACCGTAAAAATTGCTCACATCACTGTTTGTCCCAAGGTTTTTGGTTTTAGCGCTGATATTCCAGATAAGCGCTTCCATCTGATGGCGATTGAGATGGGCGGAGCGAAAACAGAGAGAAGAAACGAACGTCTATCTCTTTCAGCTTTTTTGCGGCTTCTCGCTGCACAAGTCCTTCTGCTTCTATGTATATTTGTTGCCTGTGATAGCAGTTTGTGAAGCTAGCTCAATTATGCATGTGTTTCGCTTTGTTACCTAAAGCCTAGCGGTAGTATGTGAAAGGAAAAAAGTAGTGAGAAGGCATCGCTCCCCTGAGATTTGACGATTAATTTGGATGAGACAGGTTTTCCAGAGCAGTTTTATAAGTGGGCGGGGAGTGGGCACGCTCTGATTGTGATAGCCCGTCTTTCATGGAATTAGGACCGAACGGTTCACCTTTCTTTGCTCCATTGTGGGATTGTTTAAGAGGAAACTATTTAGCGGTGAAATTGTGTCGTGGAATCCACACCAACAGGTTGAATGAGGATTCCAAGATAAGTCCAAATGCTGAATAAGGGGGAAATTTTTTTTCAGTGGAATGAAAGACGTACACCTAAGGATGCGGGTCAACACGCGACTTGCAGCGAAGGATATTCTCCCGCGACAAATGAGTACCATTCCTCGGGTTCTAGGACCTTCCGCATGGCTTTTTTTTCGACCAGCAGCAGTGACCACCTCTAACCTAAATTCTAACTACATAGTACGTTCAAATCGTAAGCCCTGTCTTCAAGGCCTTGTCAGATGCTTTCGATATCATCGCGACTACGGAAAATATGGAAATTACGAATTTTAATGTCAGACAACAAAAGGAAATGTCATCCAAGAGAAATTTTGGCAGGAAAATTCAGTACATAAATTTGTGGTTAATAAGGTACGACCAACTGCTTATAAATAAGACGAGATTATATGAAACTTGACAACG